CAGGCTGAGATCTGAATTTTTTAAATCTGTAGTGTACTTTCATGGCAAACAGATACTTTTCCATTTTGTTAGGAATGGGAGAAGAAATATCATTGACTAAATGCCTACATATGTCAGGTTATACGGCATTTCCCATCATTATTTCTATTTTAACTAAAGCCACTCATGGAATTATGTATGCAAGCCACAGTTTTCAGATGAGGAACTGAGGGGTGAAGAGACAAGACTGGAACCTAGTTCTGTCTGAGCACAAATACGCTAATGTCCTATACTTTTCTGCCCAGAAATTATAATGGAAATATTGCCTTTGCTGAATTCCTTTTTCTTTTTAAAGTTTGAAGGTCCTTTTATTTTTTTAAAATTAAATCTTTATTGTTTAAAGTATTACATATGTCCCCCTTTTTCTCCCATTGACCCCCTTCTAGCATGCCCCCCTCTCTCCCCACTAACTTCCTTTTTCTTCATACCACTAGAAACCCTCCATTCTCAGGGTCGAGGAAGAACAGGTCAGGCAAATTTTAAGTTTTTCTCTACTCCCCCCAACAAATGTCTTCATTAGAGAGACATCAAGTCCTTTCTCTGTTCTGAAGAAAACAGTACCACTAAAAGACATTAAGCCATTGGCAGCCTGGTTTCTGGAGTTAAACTCTGTATTGCTAAAGCAATCTAATGACAAATGTATACATCCTTGGCAGAAGTGTGAAGTTTGGGGACCATTTATTCAGGAATTACTCTGTCAAGATGATATATAATCTCATTTAATCTTCCACAGTCCTGTGAGGTTTTAACACCATTTTATGGATAAAGAAACTGAGGCTTAGAGAAGTTAAATATCTTGCTTAAGGCTACTCAGTTGGTGAGAGGCAGGGTCAAGATTAAAATCAAGGACCTTGCCCTAGCCAGTTTAGCTCAGTGGATAGAGCATCGATCTGCGGACTGGAGGGTCCCATTTTCTATTCCAGTCAAGGGCGCGTACCTCGGTTGCAGGCTCCTCCCTGACCCGGCCCCTGGTCTGGGCTTGTGCAGGAGGCATCGATGTTTCTCTTTGTCATTCCCTCTCTCTTCTCCACTCTCTCTAAAAATCAGTGGAAAAATATCCTCGGGTGAGGATTAAGAAAAAAACCCAAAAACAACCAAGGACCTTGACTGGGAAGTTTATCCTCTTACCTCCACCCTGCAGGCTCCTTTAGAAAAGGAGTTAAGCCTAATAGGTTTGGCTCTATGGATAGAGCATTGGCCTGAGGACGGAAGGGTCCTGGTTTGATTCCCAGTCAGGGCACATGCCCAGGTTTCAGGCTCCATCCTGTGTGGGGGGTGCAGGAGGCAGCTGATCACTGATTTTTCTCTCATCATTGATATTCTATCTCTCACCTCCTCTCTGAAATCAATAAAAATATATTTTTAAAAAAGAAAAAGAGTTAAGGTTTCCGAGCACTGCCCGGCTGGTGTAGCTCAATGGTTGAGTGTCCACCTCTGAACCAGGAGTTCATGGTTCAAATCCTGGTCAGGGCACATGCCTGGGTTATGGGCTCGATCCCTAGAAGGGGGTGTACAGGAGGCAGCCAATCAATGATTCTCTCTCATCATTGATGTTTCCATCTCTCTCTCCCTCTTCCTTCCTCTTAAAAAAATTGATTTCTGCCCTAACCGGTTTGGCTCAGTGGATAGAGCGTTGGCCTGCAGACTGACGGGTCCCAGGTTCGATTTCAGTCAAGGGTACCTACCTTGGTTGTAGGCACATCCCCAGTAGAGGGTGTGCAGGAGGCAGCTGATCAATGTTTCTCTCTCATCGATGTTTCTAACTCTCTATTCCTCTCCCTTCCTCTCTGTAAAAAATCAATAAAAAAATATATTTTAAAAAAATGATTTCTGAGCACTATCAATTTGCTCAGTATCAAATGCCAGGATCTTTTCGTTGAAGATGGGGGATATTAATGAAACATTCAAGAATACACTGGACAATCATTAGTGTGGTGTATGTGGATGAGCAAAAGGGAGTTAAACTACTCAAGTTTCCCCCAATGTCTTCCTTAGAGTAACTTCGAGTACCTGAAGCATCCAACCAACAAACCAAGAACTAAGGTGGTGGTTCCAAAATCAAGTAGGAAAACATTCAATACCCTAGTCCCTCTCCTGGAGATTGCCATATGCACATTATACATTTTAGGCTCTAACTAGTCTTAAAGAATTCCACTTAACTTTAACCCAGAGTTTCCCAAGGACCAATATAATATCTACTCCCTTGAAAGCATATTAACCTGTCAAGGCCTGCAGAGCACACCTTGGGGATCACCTTAACTAGTCTGAGGCATGTCTACCAGCTCCATGGTTCTCTGTAGGAATCTGAACATGAATCTAGAGGTCTTGCCATATACACCCTAAAGGCAAAAAGGACTAGATGACCAGTGTGCACATCTAGCTGGATCCCGGTTTGAGCCTTCTGCAGCTGATAAGGATTGGGCCTTTGCATGTGGCATGTCACCATTTGCCAGTTCATGACAAGTTGAGTCCCTGAAGTTGCCATGTGAGCAAACATACTTTAAACAAGTTGGTTCGTGAACCCAAGGTTAAATCACATTGTAAGAGGAACCATTTGACAACAGATTTTATTTTGAAATTATTATCCATCTTTCTCTGGGAAAGAGTGAAGCCTATGATCTGCTTTTTTTCTTACTGTTGATATTTGACACTTTCATTTACATGGTGCCTATAAATAGAAGCACGAATCTTTGTGGTAAGCAAATTCATTAAATTCCTACACTAATTCCTATTGGGATGAGTGTTAAATTTAGAGTGGGGCTGTGAATAGGCCTATGACAGCGTTAAGTTCTTTAACATGCAGAGAAAAATGCACCAGGAAAAGATAAACTAAAAATCTCATCTTTCCCTGTGTTTCAATTACTTTAAATAACTTAAAAAAGGGAATAATAGCCTTTCAGACTTGGAACAGCCTTTAGGAATCCTCTAGTCTAAACCCCTCCTTCACAGGTGAGGTTGGCAAAACTTGAAAAAGTAGGTCAGGGGCCCATACAGCTTGTCTGTGGAAGAACTGGGCTGAAACTCAGCTGACTGCTCTTCCCTTAAATTTTTCTCTCCTCATTTAAGACATTCCAGTGTCATTTTAACGACTTAACTTTTTTAAAAAAATTAATCCTCACCCGAGGATATTTTTCCATTGATTTTAGAGATAGTGGAAGGGAGGGGGAAAGACAGACACACACACACCCCTATTGCTTGCCTTCTGCACCCGCCCAGACCAGCACCAGGCATGAATGCAACCTAGATACATGCTTTTGACCAGAATCGAACACAGGCCACAGGCCAATGCTCTATCCACTGAACCAAACTGGGTAGGGTAGGACTTAACTTTCTGGGATCACTCACTATAATGAAAAAGGTTGGCTCATTTGCTTTCCTTTGTGGGGTGGAAGGCAAGTCATATGTCCATTGTCAGCCTCTTGGTTCTCCTGCTCTCTTGGTAGTCCTTCATTTTGCCCTTTTTTCCTATCCTTTGTCCCCAACTTTCTCTCTCCATCCCCGTCAAACACTTATCTTTGGAAATATGTGTGTGCACTTCCCAACCTGGCTTGGGTCTGGAACAAGGTGACTCTTGGTTTAATGGAGTTTTTCCACAGTGCTTGAATTTGCCCAAAGGCTTGGAAGGTTGGCTCACAGAAAGGAAACTGTCATCCTTTGCCCTTTCAGCAGGTCTGTGTTCTGTTAAAATACGGAAGAATTACAAAGTAACAGGAAGAAAAAAAGGCAGAAACTCCACTTGAAGTATTTGCCTTCCCTCTGGGAAAGTTCAAGACTGTTGTTCAACGTCTAAGGCCTTCCCTTGTGATTCGCTTGAAGTCGTCTCCAGGTGTCTGACTAAGGAAGCACCAGAGGAAAACAAAAGTTGGGTGTTAGTATTGAAGTCAGTGTCCTGGCTCATAGGACTTGGTGGACAGTATGCTTTACTTCTTGGTGCTGGGTAATCAGAGTGGGAGCCTTTTCCTGCACAGGAGCCCTCCCTGCTGCAGGTCTATTGTGCAGGAGAGCTCACCCTTTCACATTTCTCATTCCTCGGCAGACATCTGTGAAGGGCAGGCCTGTGTTTTCCACCCTAACACTTACCCTCAGACCCTCCTAAGTGTCCAGGAGGGCCGTGTTTTTAATCAGAAGTTGAAGTGGAACCTCCCATGGGTGCCTGGTGAGTGTCTCTTCGGGGCATTGCCCCCGCCCCTCTGGAGGACAACATGCTGGTGTGGGTGGGGGCTCAGCCTTGATCCCAGGGCATCTTTCGCCCCTGGAGGCACCCTGCCAGCCAGGTATGTGGAGGGAAAGTGCTGTCCGCGTTCCAGGGCGGCGAATGAATTTCTGGACCTGGACGGTCGCTTCAGAGCGTGGTGGGGCGTGGGAGCCAGCGAACACGGGTGGGCACAGCGAACTCACTACCTGGGTGGGCATCTCCGGGGAAGTTCGGGCGGGGCGCGCCGGTTTTCTTGCTCTAAAATCCACCCTGGGCAGAGCCACAGCACTTCTCATCCAAACTCCTGGAGACAGGGATTAGGTGGGTGCGGGTTCGGCGAGGCGGATCCGGGAAGTGCCGGCCCCGCTAGCTCCAATCCGTGGTCCCGAGCTCTGGCCCGACCGCCTGGCCCGGGCTGGGGCGGGGCCGGCCACACTACGGCAGCCGAGGTCCGGGACTCCGGCCGCGGCCCGACCGCCCCTCGTGTCGCAGCCCGCCCTCAGCCGCCCGGCGAGGCGGCGGCCTTCTCCGCCCGCGCGGGGTCCCCTGGTTAACCCCTGCCCGCCAGCCTGGCCGCTGATTGGAGGAGGCGGGGCGCCGGGGCACGGGGACCCCCCCCACCGTCCTCGTCTCCTCCCCCACTGCCGGCTCTTCCCCTTACCCACCCCCCCAGGACCCCCCCTGCTTCCCCGCCGTGCAAATCTCGCGAGGAAACACGCGGTTTCACTAGTGTGTTTACACCGATCACTACTAATCCGGACCGAACCGATCCGGATTAAGGGGCCGGAGGCGGGTCTTGGGTACCAGCGGTTCCGACACCCCCCGCCCTCTGCGCCGCACCCGAGTGGCCCCCAGCCGAGCGGGTCCCCACCTCCCGGCCCGGCCTGGGCCCTCCTGCGCCTTCCGTGGCCTTTGTCCGGCGCCGGGAGGCCGGTCCCGCCACCCCCGCTGCCGCCCGGGCCCGGGCCCGCGTCGGGCGCCTGGCTCTGTACGCGAGCCCGGGGATCTGCGGCCTCCGCGGCCCCCCTCCCCCGCCCGCCCTCTCGTGGAGCCCGGCGCCGGCGGCGGCTGCCCGGGCGGGGGTTGCGGCGCTCAGGAGAGGCCCCGGCTCCGCCCCGGGCCTGCCCAGGGGGAGAGCAGAGCGATCTGCAGCCGGGTCGGGTCGGGGCCCCTCCCTGGAGGAGCGTGGAGCGGCGGCGGCGGCGGCAGGTGAGAGGCTGAGCCCCAGGCAGGGGAGGGCGCCGGGCCCGGGGCACTAACCGTCCAGGGAACCCCTCGGCTGTGGAGGCTGCGGCCCGGGCCCACCCGGGGGCCGGTGCCGGGCCGCAGCTTCTCGGCGCTGAAGCGGGAGGGGCCCCCCGAGGGCTGCGGGTCGCCGGGCGGAAGATGGGGGAGGCCCAGGCGGTCCTGGCCCGGCGGTGGGTCCGGCGGCCGGCAGGCAGAGGGGGCGCCCCGGCAGCTGGAGGCCCCGGCAGCCTCCCGGGCGCCCCCGAGAGCTGGCCCGCCCTCCCTCCGTGACAGGTGGGCCTGGAGTTGGGGAAAGTTTGGAGCCGGCGGCGGCGAGGGGCGCCGGGACCAGGCCCCATCAGCCCTCCTCCCGGCTCGGAGCCGCGGGGAGGCTCCCGGTCCCAGGCCGCGCGGGAGCGAGACTGAGTGGGTCTCTCCTTCACACGAGTTGACATTAAAGGGAGTAACTGCCGGGGTGTCATTTTCCCGGCCAGGCCGGGGACTGGAGGGTCCGGGAATGCCGGGGAGACCCTGTGGTTGACGGAGGCTGCCACCTCTGCCATTCCGGCCTCGGTCAGGGCAGGGCGACACGCGAGGAAGGCCACCCGGGGGAAACTCCTTCTTCGCGTTCTTCCGCGCTTCTCCTGCTTAAGAGGCCTTCCTGCCCCTCCGAGAATTTCCTAGTCCCTCGGTGACCTGCCCTTGTCTGGAGATGTGGGTGAAACTTGGTAATTTGTCACCCCCTCGTTCCCCTTGGCCTCGGGCTCTCAATCCAGGAAGGGAAATGAAACTGGAGGACTGGCAGGGTTACTGGAGATTGTGGAGTTGCTAGATTGCAGGCGAGAATGTTTAATTCATGTTTTCAGTGAACTTTTAAATCCTGACAGTCGTGCCAATAACTGTTCGATAATACGTTCAGAGGGGTTCTGTGGAATGCCTTATGCTCCTTCTCCACGGAGAGGTTTCCGGTGGGTTCTGCAGGAATTGCTCTCTTGCAAAGGATGGACGTATTTGATGAAAGTAGCCTGTGCATTAATTGGTCCTGGAAGGAGTTTAAAAATGGTGTCCTCCTGCCCCTCCCTGCTTGGAAGGAGTGCTAAAAGCAGATGTCTAGAGAAACCTACTGCTCCAGGGAGTGGTCAGAAGAAGATTTGAAAAGGGATGGTTATGGAGCTAAACTAATTTCCTGAGTGAATGCAGGTTGATGGTTTTACCATGGGTTCTCTATTAATTTTAAAATAGTTCCTTTTTTTATGAGCTACTGTGAGCTCTTCAGAGAAAGGAGCTATGTAATAGCGTTATTTGAATTTATTTGTAGCTTCTGATTCATGCTATATTATTAGGAAATTATTAATGATTCATATTTTTAGTTAAAAACTAGTTCCTGTGTGTTTCGGAAAGCAATATTCGAAAGTTCTTAGCTAAATTCAGAGGTTGGTAAAAGGCTTTTTTTTTTTTTCTTTTTTGGCGAGGTAGTCCTTGCTCAACTTTTAGAGATTATATGAAGGGTTTGAGGGTTTTTTGCTGTTAAAATCAGAATGAGAGAAGTGGCCCTAAGAAGAGAATTTCTGAACCGCATTATAACTCTGTGTTACTATTTGGTACAGCACATTATAGTTTATAACATGTGATATATTTACTTGAGGTTTATCTGTGTGTGACCATTCAGTGAACTAAATTGGCTCCTCATGTTTTAGCCTTTATGGTCTCACAACCTACTTTTTTCTTTTTCAGTAGAAATGATGGAAGAATTGCATAGCCTGGACCCACGACGGCAGGAATTATTAGAGGCCAGGTTTACTGGAGTTGGTGTTAGTAAGGTGAGTAAAATGATGATAATGAACACTGTGCTTAGTCTAATTTAAACACATTCAAAACCCAATTAAGGGCAATTTTGATGGACCATACTGTTATATTGTAGAGGAGAAGATTTGGCTCAGGGTTCCAATGAACTTTTCAATCCTACCAGTCATTCCAGCCGTTCAGCAGTGTATTTGAACGTATTCTGTATGGGAGTGTATGCTGATTTTTCAACCCTACGATATGGGGGAGGTTTCCCATGGTCTTATTGCAAGGGTACTAACCGGATGGATGTGTATTCTGTGCCATATTTTTTCAAAACTCCTCAGTCACTCGGAATAAAACTGTTAATTAAAAGGTATAGGCATAGCTTCATTACACTGGACTTTTTGGATAGTTATATGGTAGAGTTTTGAAAAATCTGTCTCTGCTAAGCCTGTCAGTTCTCCAAATCTGCAGTTCAGCAGATTCCTCTTGTTTGCATCCACAGGCTGATTTCTTTCTTCTATTTTTCCTAACTGTTCACTCTTTATTTTTATTCTGGGAGTATAAAATAAGATCAAGCCGCCATTAATGGGCAGGTGTTAAGTTAAACAATGTTAATGCTTTCCGTGCAACCTATGTACTTGCTATTTCACCTGTCTGCTCTTGTAGGATGGTTTTACTACAATATGTAAAATAAATTTATGATGCTTTATTTAAAAGCTTCACCATTCCAAAATTATTACATTACTTGGGCTTGGGACTTGTGAATTTTGATCCTTGACTTCATGTGGTACATTTCTTTATGTGCTTTTCAATAAATCTTATTTCTCACTAGAGGCCCGATGCACGAAATTCATGCGGGTTTGGGGGAGGTCCCTCAGCCCAGCCTGCACCCTCTCGCAATCTGGGACCCCCTCGGAGGGTGTCTGACTGCCGGTTTAGGCCTGATCGGCAGTCGGACATCCCTCTTGCAATCTGGGACCCCTCACTCCTAACCACCTGCCTGCTTGCTCTTTACCTCTTGGCTCGCTGCTCCTTAGTGCTGCCGTGGAGGTGGGAGAGGCTCCTGCCATGGGCACTGCACTTGCCAGCCGTGAGCCCGGCTTCTGGCTGAGCAGTGCTCCAGCTGTGGGAGTGCACTGACCACCAGGGTGTAGCTCTTGTGTTGAGCGTCTGCCCCCTGGTGATCAGTGTGCATCATAGCAGCTGGTCGTTCCGCCGTTTGGTCGGTTTGCATATTAGGGTTTTATTATATAGGATAGGATGGTGACCTAGATATTGGTCTCATACTTTGGTTAGTAGCTTCTTAAATAAATTTTTTGTCACCCTGGCCCGTGTGGCTCAGTTGGTTGGGCATTGCCCTGTGCACCTAAAGGTTGTTGGTTTGATTTCTATCAGGGCACATGCCTGGGTTGGGGGCTTGATCCCTGATAGAGGGCCTGCAGGAGGTTCCTCTCTCCCTTGGTCTCTTTCTCTTTCTCTCTCTCCCTCTCCCTCCCTCTCTCAAAATCAGTATAAAAAAGGAAGTTACTTATCAAAGTTTAGTTGAAAAAAAAAAACCTGCTGCTTTGATGGGTCTCATAGTTTTGGTGAGCTGGAATAGCTTGATAGCTTTTGTTCATTCAACAGATATTTAGTGCCTATTGCATACTGGGCATTGTGCAGGTTGTTAGGGATGACACCTCAACAATGGTGTGTCTCCAAGCCTCCGTTGTGGACAGAGATCATACTAGGATTAGAGATATATTAGAGCTGTGACCTGGTACTATGGGAACACACATTTTATAGTTCTTGGGGTTTTTTTTGGCCACTTTAGTAACTGACTTTTGTGGCACTTTGTAGGCCTTTACTCCTGACTGTTGATGCACATTGAAGTTACATGTATAAATGTAAACACTGATCTAGGTGAAGTAGATTCAACTGGAAGGGACCACTACATTTAAGTATTACATTGATCTCTGATTCAGTTGATTATCTACGAAATGACCTTTGATGTGTCTTTTAACTGTGGAATTCAGTAGAAGGCTCATATCCAGATCTGTCTGTTCAAGTGGTCACGTACTGAGTAAAACTAAGTCTCTATTCAAAGTGTATGTAGTTTAAACTCATTGGGCTTTGTTGTTAGGACGCTTTTCTTTCCTTTGTTTTTTGGTTCACAATAGCTATATCCAAGTATCCTTTTGATGGGGTAAAGCATAAGTAGTGAGAATGAGTGACACTGAATTTTGCTACCCAGGGCCAACTTAACATCATGTAATTAAGTTGTCAGAAAACTTAATCTGATGATACGTTTAATAGGAAGCTCTACCTTTAATATATAGAAAAAGAAGTTCATTTATATCCAAGTGTTTTTATGGTATTAATTGTATGCTATTTTGATGTTTCCAGTTACGGTAGGCATACTGATTACAATAAATGTTATTCAAAGACTAGAGGTAGAGTGTTTTTCTCCCCATAGCAATGAAACTTGAAGAAAAAGAAAACCCAAGTAAATTATGTAGTTTGCAGAGTTGGGAAGAGGAAAAGAAAATCTCCATTTTGTACAACTTCTTTTGCCTACATGACGTTGTATCTCTCAGACCTCTGATTTGAAATAGGAGTCGGGAGGAGGTCATGGTACTAGGGGAAAAGGTGCTTTTGGAAAAAACCCCTCCTCCTAGCTTTGAATTCCTCATTATGGGTCATGATTTTCCAGTAAGGATGTCACTGTTGATGACAGCTTTCAGTTTTGCAAAGATCAAGAGTTTTCAGCCCTTGTTCCAAATGGGAGAACACAGTGACTTTTCTGAGGTAGTGCCATCTAGTGGGACTGGTGCAGCCTCATGGGCTGTCTCGAGTTTCTCCTAACTATTCATAACATTTTCAGTACTTTTTGATGTCCATAGAAGGAAGAAATTCAGTGCCACTGTGGATTCTTCTCTAGTCGACAGGAGTGTTTTAAGTAGCTGCAGTCTTTGAACTTCCTGGTTATTATAGATCTTATGTCATGTTGCTTCAAGTTTTTTACATCCACAGATTAGATACATATCACAAAACCTACACTAAAATGAAATGGCCAAGCCACCACATTTATTACTTACATTTAAGTTGCTCTACTTATATTTAGGTTTTTTATTTGCAAATTTAAAACTTACTTGCATATTGCAGTATATACATTGTTTCTCTTTCTATTAGCATATGTAATTTATAATAACTGGTAAACCAAAAGCATTTATTTTGCACTTTGTGATACACTGTGTGGTTTTTTGTTAAGTGATGGGTATTTTCTGTCATTAGTGAGTTTATGGTAAAGGAAAGTAGCTCAATGTACACCAAGAAGCTGTAGCTGACTTTCCTCCTCTAGTCTAGCTGCCACTTTCTGGTAGGACCTGTACCCATCCAGTTGACATTTTTGAGGTGATAAGGTGAAATTCGGTTATGAACCTACTTTTTTATTTCTTGTTGACCTGATATGTGATGAGCTATCCTACGTCTTTTTAAAGATCTCTTCTTTTAAACACTGGATAATCCACTTTCAGTAATGTGAAACTGACTATACCCTGTATTCATATGTTTTCAGTGAGGATCATTGCAGTACTCCCTTTTAACAATTTAAGTACAGATGGTCTCTGATTCTGGAGACTGTAAAGTAGGTAGAATTTTACCTTTGCATGCACTGGTATAGACCTAGTTGAATTTTAATGCTAGCATAGTAGCAAATACTTAAATAGTACTTATTATGTGCCAGCTACTGTTCCATGTACAATAAAAGCAATAAGAAGTGAATTTAGATCTTTTGTAGCAGTCAGTAAACCTTCATTCTCTTTTTATGAGACATATGATACCCACTGCATTGTTCCCACAAGTTGAATCGTAGACTTATCAAGGATCATCTTATGACAACTTGTAGTTGTATTATAATTATATAATTTAATACAAAATTATGTAAACCGATGAAATATAATTGTAAAATGAAAGAATTATTGATTCTAAAATATTAAGTTAACTACCTTAGAAAGACTAAATATAAGGTGATATATATAAAAATGCATAATTTTTTTTTTAATCTGGAAGAATTCTTCATTTAGATCCTTGGCAAGTATCTTTTAAAGAAATCGAAACTGGAAATTGTAGATGAGGCATTATGGGTGTGGTTTGTGTAAGATAGTGTAGAACTGCAGTCAGTGGGTCTACAACTCAGAAGTCTTCAATCTAAAGACTGGCAACAGAATATACATTTATATGTATTAAGTTCAAAAAAATGTTTAAGATGTCTTTTTTTTTTTTTTTAAGATTCTCCACTGTAACCTACTTTTTTGACGGATGTCATTGGTTTCAGTTGTATTGAATAAAAAGGATTATGCAGTATGTGAATGGTATTGAAAAGAAGAACAAATTGAGAAGCTATGTAAAGTGGGACTTCATTTTGACACAATAAGAACTTTCAGTTTGTAGAGCCTAAAGCAAGGCCATAAACTTTTAAGTACATAGTACCACATAGAAGATTTTGGTTATCTTCTTAAAGAAAATGATCTCTTTTCCTATCTTTCATAAATTTGTGAGTCTGATACATGATTACTTTAAATGATCAAATTTCTTACTTCTGAAAAGATGGTTAATTAACTGATAACCTTTCCTGTCATTTAGTTAATTGTATCATTTAGAAGGTGTTAGTTATGGATATCTAGTGTTATCTGTTTCATCAATGTCAGTAATTAAAAAATATGTGTGTAGCCCTGGTGGTGTGGCTCAGTTGGTTGGAACGTCATTCCAAGCCCTGAAGGGACTTGGGTTTGCTCCCTATCCAAGGCATGTTTGGGAGGCAATTGATCGATGTTTTTCACGTTGATGTTTCTCTGTTTCTCCTTCTCCCTTCCTCTCTCAAATTAATAAAAACGGGTGTTTTGCATTTAATACATAGTTAGACAATGCTCAATAAGCATAAATGCCGAAAATATTTCTATTGGTGAGTTTTAGGAACTGTTGGTAAAATTATTGTTTACCTTTTGTATCTCCTCCCTTTCATTTACTTAAGTATTTCTTTAATTCTCCCCTC